CATGATTTTGGAAATTGTCAACTTATCACAACTTGATGATTTTGAAAATTCTCAACCTGTGGTAGAAAATCATCCTAAAGTTAAGGTCAGCATGCCTTCCATGAGGAACGTGTGCTTTGGAGAGAAAAGTCAAGGGGGTGTCTGGACAACTTTTTTGTACTGCCTGTGAAAGACCAGAAGATCAAAGCGTTCAGTCATAGAGTTCTCTATGAAGAGATTAGGGGTATGATTCATGGCTAATATCAGCCATCTCAGCAGAATCCAGGAATAGGCATCAGATTTTCTGTAAGAAATGTGTGGAAAAGTTTGTTATCTATTGCTGTGACTCCCCAGGAAAGACATGGGAAACTCACAAGGTTTTTGAGAGTGTTATAACACCAGAAATACTGTCACCTTGATCTGAAAGGGACAGATAAAGGATGAAATTGAAAAAAAAACTGTGGATCCCAAAATTCTACAAAGAGGAAACAGGCTGATAAAACTACTCATCTTCACACATGTGCTATCATTAAAAACAAAGGAAAGGATGATTCCAAGGGCATAGCCTAGGCCCAGAGGGCAGAGATGTGAGTCCTGAAGGTAGAGTCATGGTATCAGAGTGAGCCTTGAGCCAAAGAGGATTACTCCCAAGTCATGAAATCTAATGGAGTTTCCCCCAGTTGCTTGGACAATACTTTCTTCCTTCTACTTTCTCCTTTATGGAATGAGAATGCCCACAACTGCTCCCCACTGTAAGTGAACTAAAAATAAAATGGAAAAACAAATTAGTAAAGAGGAAAATTAAAAGGAGAGGAATAAAAAAGAGAATCAACAAAATTCTACTTGCACTTTTGATTTACCTACAAGAGCCAGGTTTCTATCTGGATCTCTGTTAGAGCCAGACCTGATCAGGGCTGTGTAGACGACAATGATATCCCAAAGTCCAGAAGAATGTTTAGCTAAACGTACAAAAGTCTTTAAGACATTTAGAAACATGCAACTTTTGTTTCTTTTATTTTAAAGGGAATAATCAAAGGCATGATAAAGTCAGAACAAAGGTATATTCTGGTGAAATAGAGAATCTATTTTGTATGGGCAGATTATGTATAAGGTGATGTGGTAAGTTGAATAATGGCCCCAAAAGATATTCAAGACCGGTCCAGGTAAAGGTTTCCTCCACTATGCAAAAATAATGCATTCCTATGAAACCTTTCATAAACCAAAATGGCAAGAAGTAAAGAAGCAATTACCATTATTATACAGAAAAATTTTTTGAGGATTCCAAGACCCCCCCCCCCAAAAAAAAAACCCTACCAAATCATACCAAATGACACATGAAACCTAAAATAACTCTAACATATAGTGAGAAAGGGAATATGATCAATACACAGCCTATGTGTAGTAGAAGTAATGTATGTACAGTGTAGTTCCTGGGGAAGAAGAATGATGACATCACTCTTGCTGCTAGGGGTGCATGCTGTCTCTTTAACAGCTTACTGCAAACAAATGCTGAATGCTAGTTTTGCTTTTAGCCTTTTTTCTTGAAAGTGAAAATCCTCTTTGGATTTCCTTTGGTTAGCGAAAATAGGTACCAATGGAGGTTTTTTTTGTGAAAGTGAAGTGTAGTAAATTCAATTTTCAAAAAGCAGAGGATGCCTGTATTTTTTAATGTTACTGTCTATAGCAAAAGGGACTTTGCAGTTGTGATTAAGTTAAGAATATTGAGATGGGGAGATTATCCTGAATTGTGCAGTTTGGCTCTAAATGTACTTACAAGTTTTCTTATAAGAGGGAGGTAAAGATTTAACTATAGAAGAAAAAGGCAATGTGACAACTGAACTAAGATGATTCACTCCTGGTTTTAATGATGGAGGAAGGGGCTAGATCCAAGGAATGTAAGGAATGCAGCTCTAGAACTTGAAAAGGCAAAGGAATGGATTCTTCCTTAGTGGCTCTAGGGGGAACACAGTCATCTTGACACCTTAAGTTTGGCCCAGTGAATCCAATTTTACACTTATGAACTTCAGACCTTTAAAAGAATAAAGTAGTGTTATTTTAAGGCACACTTTTTGTAGTCATTTGTTACAGCAGCCATAAGAAACAGGTGAAGAATAACCTTTCATAATATTTTATTTAGAGCAGACCAATACTCCAAGAGAACTTTGTCAGTTTCACAGAGAACAAACTACACACTTGCATCAATATAATATTAGGTTCTAAAAGATCAGAAAAGTCTTTATGAAAAATTTTTACTAAACCCATCAAAACTGAGATTTGGCAAAATTTTGACACAAGTTTGTGTTCCTTTTCAGATTCACTTTCTGCAAATCTTCTACAGCTGTCTATACTCATTCAGATAGATAGTTTCCTTCACCATCTTTCCCATACTAGAAGAACAGGTGATCTCACTTCAGGACAGAGACATTCTCTTTGTTGCTCTGAATCAAAACAACATAAAATGTGTGTCATCATCTTGAGACTCCTAGTAGAGTCTCATTCATATGTATTAATTTTAAGCAAATTCCTTTGTATTTATTTAACAGAGAAAACTAGGGAGTGTGTAGTTATGAATTTCTTTCAGTCTTGCAAACTAGCATAGCTCACAAATACAACTAATCCAACTTTATTCAGCTGCATACCACCCTTATACAACTTCTCTATGTGGCAGAAATGAACATAACCAAAGATCTAGCTGCTTTGCTGTTGTTGTTGTTGTTGTTGTTTGCCATCGAGTAGGCCCCGACTCATAGCAACCCCTCCTTGGATTTCCGAGGCAGTATCACTACGGAAGTAGGGTTGCCCAACCTTCCTTCCGAGGAGAGGCTGGTAGGTTTGAACTGCCAGCCTTCTGGTGAGCAGTCAAGTGCCTTAGGCACTATGCTACCAGAGCTCCTTTGTAGTACATACAATTAAGAAGCAAAAGTGTATGAACTAAAATTATTCTGATTAATTAATGTTTCAGTATTCTATCTTACTTAGAAATGATCTAGGCATCCAATGAATGTCCATTAATTAATATAATATCAGTTCAAGGTTTTAAGTTATCTAAAAGTGTTGGGAATTATCATCAAGCTGACATGGCATAGCACCTCATTTTCCTGTTGTTGTTGTTACTCTGTAAATAATACCTTATCAGAACAGTGATTCGATTTGGTTAAACAAAAATTTTTGTTTTTCACAATCTTAAACGTTAAGTAATGCTAGTTATGTGCTCAATAAACTATTACAAGTTTAGGAAAAATTTAATCAAAGTAGCATAAAAATGTGCACTTGTATTATATTTAACATGAGTGAATCAGAGAAGACATAGTTGTCTTCATTAAATCCAAAATGTGAAAATGGTTTGTCATAGTTTACAAAAATTATATGAATTTGAATTCTTAAAATGGTTCTGGTTTGGTTTCTGAGAGAATATATATTATTCAAATGTAGCTCATTTAAATTATCATAGTTCAAAATTTTTATTTTCAAGGAACTTTAGGAATATTTAATTTGTTTAAACAATTATTTATCTAGATATGCTAATGACAACAGAGCTCACTTGATCTAAGAGACTTTAAAATCTATCATATTAATACTCCCCAGATGTAGGAAAATATCATACACACACAATCAGAGGTGAATGTGTTTCTGAATTAGAGCCACATTGCATACAGTCACAGAACAACAGCACTGAAAGCTTCAGTTCTACAGTTTCAGCCATGGATCAAGAATAAACACAGACAGAAAAACTCTGCATCTCAGACACCAAATAGTTTTATTCTCCTCCTGAAAGGCATGAAATTGTACATTAATTTTAGCTCAAGTGTAGAGGAACAAACAAACAAAAAAAGATCGACAAACCAGATTCTCTATCATTTCCCCACCCAACAAAGACTGGTGGTGGTGGTGGTTATGTGCCGTGGAGTCAGACCTGACTCATAGCGACCCCTCCTTGGGTCTCTGAGGCAGTATCACTACGGAAGTAGATTGCCCAACCTTCCTTCCCAACAAAGACTAGGTATCTATAAACCATGGATCCATTTAGAGACATCTCCAAATGGTCACACCATAAAACCAAATTCCCAATCACTGCTGTCAACAATGGGGAATAACTTATTCACTATAAATGAACCAAAACAAAAACACAAAATAAATAGAGAAGATAAGTTATAATCCAATGTTTAAATTTGAAATTACTATGAGAAAAACAGAAAGTCAACAAAGTTTTATTGGTGCTTTGGATTTACCTAGGAGAGCCATGAAAACACATTATCGAACTTTAACCAAGCATGAGGTACACTTCTCTGTTGACCATGTTTACCTGGCTCTGACAGGTAACTTATGAAAAGGGTATCTTGGGTGACTTTCTAAATGGTTAAAAGATTTTAAAAAAAAAGATATTTTTTAAATAGGGTAAAATCCTAACACTCATAGAAATGTGAAATAAACATGTGTTAAATGATTCCATTTAACTCATGAGGAAATGGGTAGATATAAAACCAGACCACCAAAGAATCCAAAGATTAGATGCAGACATATTGAAATGAATATGTAAATAGAGGCAAAAATGATTTTATTACAACATAAGAGGAGAGATGATTGGACCTCTACTAATCAAGACATTGTGCATGTCTATCTATATTCTACAACTTATAAGGAGCTGTGAAAGATCTAGGGACAGTACAAGGCTAGAATCAGGTAACCTGGAGTAGTGTCTTCTAGACAATGCAGTTTTCACTGAAACCCACATTTCTTTTTACAATGCTAAAGACAATTAGAAAGACTTTCCTCAAAAAGAGAATCCAGTCATTAGTGTGACCAGGTTCCTACCATGGACGTTTCTAGGCCCAGGCCTGATTAGAGCCAGTGGACACCGATGACATCACAAGTCCAGGTGTCACAAAGGCAGATCCCTGACCAATGAGGGACTGGCGCTCAGGAATATATTATGTCAGAATGAACACAGATCTCTTCAGAGTCCCAGGCCAGCGGGACAATCAAGCTGAGCATATTAGAGCCAAACCCAGTGAATAAGCATCATGGCTGGGCAAAGACGCTCTCGGAGCTCATCTAAACGTAAGAGGCCATCTCTCTCCCGCTCCACAAGAGCAGAGCTGCAGTTTCCTGTGAGCCGGATGGACAGTCTCCTGAGGAAAGGGAATTATGCCCGGCGCCTGCGTTCATCCACACCCGTTTTTCTCGCTGGCATTCTCGAGTACCTGACCGCCAACATCCTGGAGCTGGCAAGCAACGAAGCCCAACTCAACCACAGGATACGCATCACCCCAGCACATCTGGAGAGGGCAATGGACAGAAACCCGCAGCTCAATTGCCTCTTGGATGATGCAATCAAGTCAGAGGTTGATGAGAAGCCCCGATCTAAAAAGAAATGAAGATGCTCAAGTCCCAGAAGCTGGCAGGAGCCCTCACAGCCCCATCCAGGCCTCAAACTGCTGACAACTGAAGCTATCTCACACTGTTACCATCAGCAAATGCTATTAAAGGGTTTGCATCCAGGAACTTTTGATTCCTCTCATTTCCTGTCATTTTGAGTTGGAGTCGTCTGGGAAATATCCAAGGGTAGATACCTCCCTGATAGAAGTGGGTGGTCAGCATGAGCTGGTTGAATCAGTGATTTCAGAGAGGGGCAATTCCTAAAGGTGATAGTGGAGGGAGAGGCCCTGGGTGGGCTGAGGTGGCTGAGGTGGGGGAGGTAGAGGAGATTTCCTCTTTGGTTTTGGGGAGGTCAAGGCCTAGTAAGGCCAAGATGTTGGGTGGGGGCCTCCTTGGTATGGTGAAGTCCTCAGAGTTATGGTAGGAATTGGGATGGAACTGAAGACCATGACTGAGCTATGGAAGGCTTTCTTCATGATAGGGAATGTCTAATGGTCAGAAAATGATGGCAATGGGGGTGGAGTAGAGAGGGAGGCATATAGGTTGTCATGAACTTAACAGGGCTTTTACATGAAGATGAGAAGTGATGGGGGAAACAATAAGTAAACGTACATAAAAGGAATTATGGTCATGTTGATTTCATATATTATTTATTCCCTGCTTCATGCCACAAAAGGACTTGAGGCAGGGATTATTATCTTAGATTCTTACTGAGGAATGCATTATTCTGTGCTCTCTTTTAGACAGTGGTAAGTTAAATAGTGAAATTATGTAATTCAGGCAGCTACCAACAGCTCTTAAATATCCCTGAAATTAGTTATAAACAATTTCATTCAAATACAATGGAAAATACTGTTCTCAGATGAAACTCTTTATTTATCTAACTATATATTTGATAGAGTGAAAGAGTTATTAGTGGCTAATGACATGTTTTGTTTGTTTGTTTTTGTTGCTGTTAAGGTGCTCAATATCATTAGTCATTCAAAAACAAAAAAACAAACTCACTGCCATTGAGTCAATTCTCACTCATAGAGATCCCCATTGGGTTTCTGAGTCAGTAAATCTTTACAGAAGTAGACTTCCCCATCTTCTTTTCATGGAGTGGCTGCTGGGTTTGACCTGCCAACCTTCTGGTTAGCAGTCAAATACCTTCGACAATGCACCACCAGAGTTCCTTTTTTAAGAGGTATTTGTGTATCCTAAATAAATCCTGTCCCGGGTGATAGACTTAAAGACACAGATTCATATCAAATCTGTTTTGTGCTGTGTTAATTAAAAAAAACAAGTGTTACATCAAGGGTTGTAGCAATCTAACCCCTCCCTACAAGAGTCAGCATTTGAGGTTGTCACCTGTTCATCACACACTTGAGGGCCACCTTCTGTGGCCTCCTCATCTTTTCAAAGATGGAGCCTTGAAGAGTCTGCACAGCCAACGTGAACAATGGAGTCACATGACCTGGCTTAGGGATACAAGTCCCCATTCACTGGGCACATGATTTTGGCTTTAATTTATTCCCTCTGAGCAGCAGTTTTCTCATGTGTAAAATGCGGATAATAGGAGTTCACCCATCTTCAGGTCTCATAAGGATTAAATCACGATGTGCCTGTAAACTGCTGCTTAGTACCAAGCCTGGCACAAGATAGACCCTCAGTAAACACTTGCATTTCTTTTGTACACACTAGATGCTTTGGTGTGGCTGGGCCTGGTTCTCACATGACTATTGGATGTCTGGGTCCATGTCTGGGAAACTCACCCCTGTGGAAACTTGTGGAGAGATGAGAGAGCCATGCAGAGGCAGAAGACAGAGTAGATCAGGGACCAGACAGGGTTCCTTTGCTTTCCATGGCCTTGTGACACACCCTCGCCCTGCCTCCTTCCACCACCTGTCAGAGCAGAAGGACCTGGCTGGGCCTTTGCCTATTTCACAGGAGAGCCCTGAGAATGGAGGAAACAGTGTCAGGATCATGTGTGGCATTCCTTGGAGTATGTGCTTGTGTAAATCCAAGAAAATCCTCTTGCCACATGATGCCCATTAAACCTCATATTTACAGAACCCTCATTGTCTCTTGTTCACCTCACACATTTGTGATTTGTTATAGAGCCATGAAGCATGCCTAGCACTAGCCAAGCTCAACTCTTCTGTTCATTTGTGTTGGAAGGCAGGTTTTTCCCCAACTACGGCTGGAAATTCACCTTCAGCTGATAACACAATAGAACCAACATCACACCCCCATCCCAGAAGTGAGCTGCTTTTGTGTCCACATCATGTGTTTTTCATATTACAGTATCCTTCAGCCTCCAAGGTAGGTAATGTCAGGGAATTAATCATTATACTAAGAAATTAGCACGTTAGTTGAATTCCTGTCCAATATTTGTAGAACTGCATATGCTGGCTTATGGCTCTGGCTGATGGTAGCATTGAACATGGTCTTCTGGTTACTTCACTGTGCAGCATCAAGGAGGAATTTATTAAAGGCCTGACATGCCACAGCGTGGGGTGAACCGTGTGGGAGGCAGCAATGATGTGTGGTCAGGTCATTAGCGGTGGGCAGCATAGAGTGGTCCCTATGACTCTTCTAAGAAGCAGACTTCCTAGGCTCTTTCAGATTCCGTTTCTTCTCTGAGATGAAGCATGCAGGGTGAGCATTCCTGAGTGCATGATTGCAAGCCCTCTGCAGATTCATAATGGCCTAGAAGAACTGGCGAGAGCAATACTGCCACCCCTTTTAGGAACTGTGCATCAGCTGTGCTTGTGGGTTTCACAGGAAACGTGGTGCCCAATATAAGCACAGTATCAGTCTGCATTCCACAGCTTGCTGAATCTCCTACATGTGCACAGGAATCCTGTACTCAGGAGCAAGGGAGGTAGAGTGAGAACTACTGCCCTGGGGACAGCATCAGTGCCTCCAGTTTAGACTCTTTTGTGCATTTCTGAAAGGTGGGAGGGGAGGTGGTGAGGAAGGATTTGCTCTAGCGTGGTCCTGTAACACCACTGGGGGCCAGGGCCTTCTTGAGATTGGGCCACTGAATCCTGAGTGAGCATGGAAAGATGCTGGGGAGAGTATGGCTGCCAAGCCAGATCTGTGAGCAACAGCAGTCAGGCAGATTGCATCAGACTAAAGTCTGCACAACAGAAATCATCATGTGTAAGAAGACACAAGAACAAGAGTGGAGCCTCTGGGGAACTTGGAGGGTAAATTTGGTTTGGTGTAGACATGAGAAGTGACTTCATAATACATTAGTGCAAACCTAGTGAAAAGAGAGGGAGGATAATCTGTTTTGGTCTCTTGCAAGTGTAACTTGGGAGCACATCACCTCACATGGCGGTACAATGAGGGCTTTGAAGTTATTTCAAAGGTCTGCTTGAGATGTAAAATTCCTAGATATGACCCTGCCCTAAGACAAAATCTTTACTGAGGTGATTGAGGACTTTTCTGTCCCCATTTTACAGCCAAGTTTACTGTGGCCCAGAGATGGTCACCCCTCTCACAGGGTTCATGGCCAGTGAAGAGGAGAGCTCAGCTCTCTCTGCTGCTGTTTAGGCTCTTTCCTCCACTGAACCCTGAGAAAAGGCCTCAAAGTAAGAAGTGTTCAATGCTCTCCTCTGGGAAAAAGAAGCTGAACTCTTCAACATTGGGGTACTAGGGTCTCCTGGATTTCTAGGGACGTACTCTCCACCACCCTCTCAGTAACCTTTGCTTCTGTTTTATATTGAGAAGGGCAGGCAGGTGAGGATTCAGTGGACTGATTTCTTAGTACGGGTCTTTGGACTTTGGTAAGCTTGGCCTTGTTCCACTTCATGTTGTGATATCCTGTCTTGAACCCATCTGCTTCTCAACTAAGACCTTCTGGAAATGCTGACCTCTGGCTACTGGTGTGGCCATAAAAGTGGTAAAGGTGGTTATGGGATCACATCAGAGGCCTGAATGCAAGAGACTGTGTTTTGAACCTGAGGTCCTGTCTTATTCCTCAGGGCTCTTGATTACAACTCATAGAGACCTCTCCTTGGGTTTCCAAAGTGATATCTCTACAGAAGTAGACTGCCCAAACTTCCTTTTAAGGAGTGGCTGGTGGGTTTGAACCCCAGCCTTCGGGTTAGCAGTCAAATGCCTTAGGCATTACACCACCAGAGCTCCTGAGGTGGGGTACAGTGGAGTATCTGCTTTGGTAATGCATAAAACCAAATCTATTGAACTTCTTACTGGAACAAAAATCAACACTCTTCAGAAGACAGTAATAGACCCCAGGGTCTCTATAAGATTTCATCCACATTGTTCGGTATACAATACAAATTTGTTCAACATATAAAGAAACAGGAGAATGTGACTTAAAATTAAGAAAAAAAAAGAAATAAATAGAAACAGACCCCAAGATGCCTGGTTGGATTTAGTAGACGAAGATTTAAAAGCAACTATTATATGTTCAAATAATTAGATAAAAATGTGTCAAGAGAATTAAAGGAAAATGTAGTCTTGATAAGTGAGCATTAAAGAAAGGGAAACTATAAAAAATAATCAAATGGAAATTTTGGAACTTAAAATTACAATAACTGAAAAAAAAAAAAAAGCTTGTGTGTGACCATCTAAGGTGCAATTATAATTCTCTCCCCATCTAGAGCAAAGAAAAGTGAAGAAAATCAAAGATACAAGGAAACAATTAGTTCAAAGGACTAATGGACCATGTTAACCCCAGATTCCACAACTCTGAGACCAGAATAAATATATGGTGCCCAGCTCTGAAAGGGATTGCAATAAGATAGAGTCCCAGATAACCAAACCAAACTCACTGTCATCGAGTCAGATCTGACTCATAGCGACACCTCCTTGGGTTGCCGAGGCAGTGTCACTATGGAAGTAGATTGCCCAAACTTCCTTCTGAGGAGTGACTGGTGGGTTTGAACCACCAGCCTTCTGGTTAGCAGTCAAATGCCTTAAATTCTCCTGAGTCCCAGATAGAGTGGAGAAAAATGTGGAACAAAACTCAAAATTGCAAAAAAAA